TGATCAACCAGGAAAGGGAAAGTAGAGAGAATGACAGGTCCAAAATTATCAGGCTTCCCTCTCTTTTCGTGGAGTCACACTAAATGTCTCATTTTCCCAGAAACCTTTGTGATGAAAGTCATGAAGAGTTATTTACCAGGAAACTAATTAGGCAGATGGGATTTAGTGCTTTTATTGGTGAGCTGGTCACAAGGGCATTTTTTGCTGGTGTGTACCGCTTACTGTGTAGTACCAAAACTCTAGACTTCAGGGGAAGGAAAAGTAGTAAGTGTGACACACACTATTTCTTCAAGTGAGTCTGGTTTAACTATCCCATTACCAGTTAAAGAATATGCCTGTATATTCCCCATGTCAGACATGATACCACATTGGAAACACTTGTAGTTGTCTTAGCCCCATCGTATTGACTATGTTCTGCACATTAGTTAAAAACAGTATTGTCATCAAATGACCCTGACTCAATCTACATTTTACTGCCTAATACTGAGAGAGAGCCAAGATAAATCAAAGTATTTGCACCTCAATGTCATTGACTCTTAGGTTCCATTAGGCAGTTCAACTACAGGATTGCCAGGACAAGTCTGTGAAATAATACATTTACAAATTTTAGCACTCTATCTAGAGAGCATAATATTTGCCGCAGGTAACTAATAGGATATGGCAGCTACCTATAAATAATTTATAATAAAATGCATGAGCATGACACATGAAAGCTGTTTGTTGTGTGTTACCACCTGTTAGTCCAACAGAACCTCTGAGAATGGGCAAATACAGACTTGTAGCAATAATGTGACATCCATACTACTCTCCAATGAAGCAGGTTATTGCAATTTATAATTCTGAGATTGTTTAGAAATGAGCATCAAACACCGGGTGGTGTTGGCACACGCCTTTAATCCCAGCACTTGGGAGGCAGAGGCTGGCAGATCTCTGTGAGTTCACTGGCTGATCTCTGTGAGTATGAGACCAACCTGGTCTACAGAGTGAGTTCTAGGACAGGTTCCAAAGCCACAGAGAAACCCTGTTTTGAAAAACATAAATAAATAGAAATGAGCAACATATGAATTAGTGTCTATACCAGTTGAATATGCATACACTCTAATCTTCTTGTGAATTGTTTGGGAAATAAAAGTTTTTTTCATATCCAGTGTTTGTTTGTGTGTGTGTGTGTGTGTGTGTGTCTGACTATCAAATAGAAGTATTTTTGATGAATGTTACCTATAGACTGTTTAGTTATAGACTCACATATAACTGTAGACGAGACCATTCATTACTGATATGGCTAATAATCATAATTTGTATATATATAATATATTATATAATGTACTTAACTAATATTCATATGTTTAATAGTGTATTAAACATTGTGGTTACATGAGGAATACACTGATTTTAAACATTTAACTTTATTGACAAAAAAAAGTATGCTCAAGATATAGTCAGTCTTCACACTGTTCCAAAAGGAGCAATTTTGGTTGTGAATACAGTTGATGGCTAAGAAAAAGCCTATATCATGAGAATGTCTGCTGGCCTTTCATCTACGCCTTTCTTGTTCTTATAATAAGCCAAACTGTTAATATATCAAAGAGATGTGCTCCTTGGTGGTGGGGATTACTTTAATGTTAGGTGTCTCCTCGGGCCATTATTAAGCCTTTAGGGTTTATTTCCATAAAAATGTCTTAATTTTTATCACAACTTTAAATTCTATTCACAGTTCCTGCAAATGAGGAATACTTTACAAATTCTCCAAGTGTTAATATTAAGAGGGAAAGAGTTTGGGCTATTTCTAAAGGGTTACTAATAAAGTAATCTTTTTGCTAAAAAGATTACAGATGGGTTATATAAACATACACCATATAGAATATCATTTAACTAAGGACACTGTTTAGAGTAAAATTAATCCATTAAGGTGAGAACTTTCATTGTATCTTGACTAAAATCTTTATAGAAGTGATAGAAGGTACACACACACACACACACACACACACACATTACCCAGTGTTGTCATGACTCTTCTTAATTAGTAGTAGCAAGTGACAAAGGAAGCATTGGTTGACATTGACTCAAACTGTGGGTATAGATGTATAGTTGTTGGCCATATGTTACAAATTAAATTGTGATTCATGGCTTAAGTTCAAGTTTATATTGGTGTTATTTAGGCAAAGATACTTATGAATATAGTAATGAATTATGTACTTTGTCCATAAGTTAATTTTTGTGGCACCACACAGAAAATGGAATACACAATATAAGAGCTGGGTCAATTTTAAGATTATACTATGTTTTGTTTATTATTTTATTCTCTATGTAAGTCAATTGGCTTTATCTTGAGAGCTTGAGTAGTGATGTATTAAACTGAACCCGATTAAGTCTATTAAATTACTTAACTAATTTTGAGAAAAGGGAAAAATATCCTCCATGAATCATCATGTACACCTGAGTTTTAATAATGATGACCAATTTATTCTGATTTTCTCTTCTTTATCACTCAAAATTATTTTAACTTTGTTATATGCCTTCCAAAAATATGTTTTCTAGACAATATGGTTATGCTAAGCATTATATAATGTGTAATTTTTCCTGTTCTTTTCCACATCTTCAAGGGCGTTTTACCATATTAAGCACACAGTTGTGTTTCATTCACTTGTCTTAATTATTTTTCATTTATTCTTGTTTTCCAAACCTATGGTTTTGGAATATCTATATTACGTTAGGTCTTTTAAAAAATGTTAATCTTGTCTGCTCCTTTAAATATAAGGTTTTGTATTGTTTTTGAGTTATCTTATTTGAAAATTACATTGTAACTAATGATATCTGCATGAAAGAGTGTGCATGTCATGGTAACTGAATTTCAGTATGTGTTAACTTTATCCACATAAATATTTCCAAGTGCAGCATGATCAAATTCAGCAAAATCTGTAATTGTACTATGTTAAAGGGATTGTTTTATCTTTCTAGGTCCAGTTTTGACTGAAAATTCTGGCCTAATATATTTATTTCTGTTAAAACCGTATCCCTAGTTTCAGATGAAACATAATTTTAAGAAATGTCAAGGATATAATTTCTGCACTGGCAGATTATAGAAGATAGGTTTTATCAAATTTGAATTCACTTATCAAGTTGCATTAGTATTTTGCAAGACAGAAAATGAATGCTGTCCACTAAAGTAAAACACATGCTTTAATATTTAGAACTTACATTTTTTTGGTTTTTTTCAAGACAGGGTTACTCTGTATTGTTTTGGAGGCTGTCCTGGAACTGGCTTGGTAGACCAGGCTGGTCTCGAACTCACAGAGATCCACCTGCCTCTGCCTCCCGAGTGCTGGGATTAAAGGCATGGGCCACCAACGCCCGTCTAGAACTTACCTTTTATACCACCTAAGCCAGCTTCCCTGCATTTCATTGAATATGTATGATTTAATGAATGATCTTAATTATTCCCAAGTGGTTTTGACTTGCATGTGCATCCACCCACATGCACTGGAAAATATATGTTAAATAAACTGTGTAACTTATTCCCGAAGCTCCTTCCTTCTGAGTCTCGAGAATGGACTTCACTGTTCTTTGTCAGGGAGGTAGGATCACCTCATACCATGGAGATCTTCCTCCAAGAAGTTGCCCTCATTGTGTAAGCTTCCGTGCTGCGGCTTACATAGCAACATTAAGAGAACGGGTCACACAAATAACTGTCAGGAAAAGTCAGGATTCATTTTCATATGGTTAAGGTATGAATGATTATTCATTGTCATGCAAATATTGGAATGTAATACAAACCCCACGCTTGTGTAGCATGATAGCTATACTAGTGTGTGGTGATTGGCAGCAACAGTCAGAATCTTAAATGAAGGAAGCATGGGCTTCAAAGATAGTTCAGAAGCAGTTCCTGCCCCAGAGAACTTGATACCCTGTTATGAACTCTGAGAACAGCAGAACTGACATGCATGGACCTGTAACATGCATGTGTTCATGTCTTGAGTGCACACATACGTGCATATACACACATGCACACTTATGTGTATGCACTGAACACACACAATTTTAAGAAAAAAACCTTAAGAAAAATGAGAATCAAGCCGGGCGTTGGTGATGCACGCCTTTAATCTCAGCACTTGGGAGGCAGAGGCAGGCGGATCTCTGTGAGTTCGAGGCCAGCCTGGTCTACAAGAGCTAGTTCCAGGACAGCCTCCAAAGCCACAGAGAAACCCTGTCTCAAAAAACCAAAAAAAAAAAATGAGAATCAATAAAATATGGTATTAAAGAAAAACCATTTCTGAGTATAACTAACAACCTGAGCTCAAGTCAATGACTTATTGTCTGTTCACACATTATTTCAGATATGTATACTAAAGCTACATAGACTTCCAGATTGTTTTGTAACATAAATTTACCATCATTCTAAAGATATTTGAGGCCTGTGTAGCTGTGTTCATTGAAAACTTTGCATTATGTTTTATTGGTGTCAGTCTTTAAAACTATACTTGTTAAAGGTTTCTAACTAATTTTTGCGTGTTTTTATAATATGGAAAAAAACCCTGGGAGTAGAGCAGTGGGCTCAGCAGTTAAGAGCACTTGCTACTCTTGCAGAGACCTGAGTTTGATTCCCAACACCCTCATGGCAGCTGTAACACTAGCTCAAAGGAATCTGATTGCCTCTTCTAGCCTACACACACAGACACACACAAACACACACACACACTAAAATAAAATGAATTTTACAGGTAATATAAAATCATCAATCAGTAGAAATGGTAATGTTTTCCTATATCCCCAGATAATCATACCTTTGGGACAGAAGATTTTTGAGACATTCAAGAAAAGTAACACACAACAAAAATTAAAAACAAATCAGTCTATGGGAAGCCTCAATTATATATTACACATGAACTAAGTTATCTTGATCGCTAAACTGCCCTTTCTTAGCATTCAGACAAAGATATATTAAGAATAAATATTTGACCTCCCCCTCAACTAATATTTTTGAATCCCTTTGCCTACCTCAGGTCCCATCAGTAGTGTCTTGGTGAACAACTACGGCAGCCGTCCAGTTGTGATAATCGGAGGGTTGTTATGCTGTACTGGAATGATCTTGGCTTCCTTCAGTAACAGCGTGTTAGAACTTTACCTCACGATTGGCTTCATCGGAGGTAAGCTGGAGTATACCCTCCTCTAAATGGTATGAAAAGGATTAAGGAGACACAAATGCTCAGGGTTCTGTTTCAGTTTGTTTTTGAAAACAGGTCTACTCTAGGGTCTTTTTATCTGTTACCTTAAAATACTGCCTACAATAGGGCTACACATTTCATTTTAAGAAATGATTTTTAAAAGTTATCGTATAGTCATGTGTCATCCTAGAGACATGGAAACAGAAGCAGCTTTGGTTGTTTTTGACTTGGCACTTTTTACTTTTGATCCAGTTAAGGTGGTGTTGTGAATACCTTCTAGTATAACAACTTTATGAAACATTTTTAGTCCTGTTTAAAGTATTTGACTTACCCCTAATGGTAAGTTAAAGATGGTGTCAAATATGTATTTTTAGATAACAGTGATTTAGTGAGTGACAGAGCTTTAGCTTTCGTCTGTCTGTCTTTCCCTTATTAAAATGACATACTTACAACAAACACTCACAGGAACCTTGAGAATGACATCATTGTGCTTCATGAGGGAGTCCCTTTCATGTAAACCAACCTAAACTGTTACATTTGAAGGGTACCATTTTTATTTGCCTTATCAACAAATTTTATTTTAAAATCCACATTCCATGTTTTAAGAAAAATGGATAATAAAGGCTAAATTAATATTTTTGTCTCATTTTTGAGTTGAGATCCATATACATTTATACATGTAAACCATGTGATGAAGAAAACAGGTAGGTTTTACAGGCTGCTGTGTAGCAGACATTGTGGTACAAGCTTATAAAACCAGACTAGGGAAACTGTAGAAACAGATTCTGAGTCCTATGTTACTTTGAGCTGTGCAGTGAGTTCAAGACCCACCTGGGCTACAGACTGAAAACAAAAGTGAAGAACTACAATAATAGTGACAATAAATGTATTTGTTACCTCTCTGTGTCACTCTGACCTTTTATATGGCAAAGCACTTTTCTTTGTACTTTAGATATCAAATCTAAGTACTACATATTGGAGCTAAGTATTGTTGTTGAGGAAAGAATATCTGTATTTCCTTTATAAAATATTGTGGTTATCTTCTGTGTCACCAGAGAAAAAGAACGAGGCTATATAGTAAAGAGGCCGTGGTGTTGACGTTCCTATGCTGACTAGAACATTCCTATTCAGTAACATCATTGCTCTTCTAACACATTTCATGTGTCTGGGTCTTGGTGGCATTGGTGTTTCCTGAATGAACTAGTGTGTATCACTTTTCTTGGCATGATATCTAGAGGCAAAACTTGTTCACTTTTTTTCAGGGAAAAAGCAAATAACCATAAATGAAGTCCAATACCTGTGTTTTTAGTCCAGCTTCCTCTGCGTACGTGCAGTCTGTCTATAAACTAATGAGAGTCAGTCTAATTGTTCCCAATCGACGTATCTCAGTGCTGTGATTGGAGGAAGTAGGAGTGCTCACAGACTGTTTTCCCTAAACTATAGTTTTGGTTCCTTCCAGAGCTTTTAGAGAAAATTGATTTCAGAAAATGTCAAGAGTTGGAGTATTTGTACTTAGTGTTGTGTATCCCAGAAGTTGAGGGCTTAACCACTTAGCAATATGGTTTCAATTCATCCAAATTAGTAGGCTAACAGAATTTTACCTAAATATTCCCTTACAAATAGAATAGTACCAACACTAATGTAACAAAAGAGATAGTTCACATAAATCAATTTATATGCTTTTAAAAGGACTATTCATCTATACTACTGAATAGTAACATGTCTGGCTGATCTGCACAAAGGTGGAAACAACACTGCCAAGGATTTCATGGTGGGGCCTGGCCCCAAAGAATCAACTGAAACTCCCAAAAATGAAACATATTCAAAAAAATTTCATCAGCCCATGTGTAGATCTCTAGACACTAAATTTAGAATGTGATGCATGGAATAAACTTATTTGTTTTATTATTGCATGATGTTGAAAGGAATATTTATTAAGAGGTAGAAGACTGCTCAAAATTATGACTCTTTTATTCTGTTCATAATTTTACCATAGTGACAGAATATCTTCATTTTTAGATCTCATTAGAAACAAATCTATCCTGTTTATTTGCATATAGATATGTATGAGAAGGAAGGGGTTAATTTATCTGTGAGATTATGTAATTCTGATTAAGAAGTTATAATTTTGTCCTTGCTGTAGCCTATTCTGTGGTGTTTCTTTCATACCTCAGTAATTCCCAGTCTTATTTCTGGCTTTAAAAGAAAGGACTCTGAAAACATTCTAACTATATTCTGTTGTTTTGTACAATTATATTTCAATTTGTAATCCTCAAATATGGGAATTCACTGCTGCATGTCTGATTGTCTTATCCTTTATAGTGGAAATTTTGAGAACTTTCCTTGGTGAGTGATATAATGGCTTGTGTTTTCTTTCTCCCTTTGCTTCGTCTTTTGTTTTTGGTGTTTTAGGTTTAGGATTAGCGTTCAACCTGCAACCAGCCTTAACAATAATCGGAAAATACTTCTATAGGAGACGACCCATGGCGAATGGCTTGGCCATGGCTGGAAGCCCTGTTTTCTTAAGCTCACTGGCTCCTTTCAATCAGTACCTATTCAACAGTTATGGCTGGAAGGGAAGCTTCTTGATTTTGGGAGGCATATTTTTGCACTCCTGTGTGGCTGGGTGCCTCATGAGACCTGTCCAGACAAGTCCACGTAAGTCGAAGTCTAAAAGTAAAGTTGGTTCAAGACAAGATGGAAGTATGAAGAAAGCCAGTAAGGTATCAACAGCAGAGAAGATTAATCGCTTTTTAGATTTCAGCCTTTTTAAGCATAGAGGATTTTTGATCTACCTATCTGGAAATGTCATTATGTTTCTAGGGTTTTTTGCCCCTATTATATTCTTGGCTCCATATGCTAAAGACAAAGGAGTGGACGAATATAATGCAGCTTTATTGCTGTCTGTGATGGCTTTTGTTGATATGTTTGCTCGACCAACTGGAGGATTAATAGCCAACTCCAAGTTAATCCGTCCACGAATCCAGTACTTCTTCAGCTTTGCAATCGTGTTCACTGGTATTTGCCATCTCCTCTGCCCCCTGGCAGATACCTACCCAGCTTTGGTGGTCTACTCTATATTCTTTGGCTATGGATTTGGAAGTGTTAGCAGTGTCCTCTTTGAAACTCTCATGGACCTTGTTGGACCTGCCAGGTTTTCCAGTGCTGTGGGACTCGCCACAATTGTGGAGTGTTGTCCTGTTCTTCTTGGCCCTCCTCTTGCTGGTAAGAATATTTCTCATCAATAATATCAAAAAGAATAGCATAAATATATATGAAGATGCACATTCTTTGCAGTGATTAATGTGCTTTGAATAACTCTAGTTGCATAAAAGATTGAAGAGGTTTTGTACTTGAAATTTTCATAATTGGTTGATTTAACCCAAAATTTAAGACCTTGGTCTTACAAAATAATGAACTTAATTAGATTGATGGTTAGTATAACTTTGGGATTTTTATGCATACCAATGATTTTATGATTTTAAGACTACACCACAGTGATAAAATATTTTGCTGAACAGATCCGTGTTTTGCTTACGTAAAAATGGGCAAAAATATAAAGTAAAATCCTGAAAGTATTAGATTTTTATGAGTGTCCATTAGCTGTGTTGATTTTGAGTTTTTGCCTAAGGTAGACTTTTATATCATTGACACAAAATTCAAGGATGAAGGAAATGCACTCAATTTTAGTTCTTTGAGTAAATAATATGTTACACATCCACAAATGACGAAGTTGAGATGGAAAATGGTTTCTAAGTTCGCCATAGAAGTATCTATTCTAAAATTCCTACTGAGGAAGTCAAGTAAATGTAGGCACCACCACATCAAGAAGTTGGGAAAATTACCTGATATTTTTCTTTTTCGGAATGAAGGAAGGAAGGAAGGAAGAAAGGAAGGAAGGAAGGGGTGAATTGCCAGTTTGTGTTAGCCTACACCTTTAGCCCTAGTACTTGGGAGGCAGAGGCAGGTGGATCTCTCAGTTAAAGGCTAGCCTGGTCTACCGAGTGAGTTCCAGGACAGTCAAGGAAAACAAACCAAAGCAAAGAAGGAAGGAAGGAAGAAAGAAAAGAGAGAAAGAAATGGAGGGAAGGAAAGAAGGAAGGAAGGAAGGAAGGAAGGAAGGAAGGAAGGAAGGAAGGAAGGAAGGAAGGAAAAGACAAGCAACCAAGCCTTATTTTGGTCACTAAATCAATCAAATTTTTTTAAAAAGTCCATAGTCCTCAGGGACATTGGCTATGTAGCCACGGACAGATGACTTCATAGTCATGACAAGGAAGACTAGCACAGATAATGTTCAGTCTTTGTGAGCACAGTGAAACCAGCCATTAGTGAACCACACAAAAGATCATTGGGTCTTCTAAAATAAAGTAAATTTTTCATAATTAAAGAAACATGGGAAAATGAAGGGAACTCAAAGTGTCTAATGAAAAGGGATGGTTAAATACATATGAAGGCTCATGCCTTTACATAAAAATGTCTGATATTCATTCCTATGTATTAATATATGAGCACATCCATACCTAATTTATCTTGATTATACATTTTAATGGCAGAAATTGTTTTCAATAAATGTGATGTGCTAGTAATTTGTCCCACCTTTATGGAGGGGATATAGGAGCATAATCTATAATATTTTCTATATTAAAGTGTAACTTGAAACTAGTCTAAAGAAGAATACTGTTTGTGTGAGAAAGTTTCTTCTAGATGTCATGTTATCATTTTATCCTGCTCTCTTAAATGTTTTTTTTCCTGTCTTGTAGGCAAATTGGTCGATAAAACTAAAGACTATAAATACATGTATATAGCCAGCGGGACAATTGTGGTAATATCAGGCATTTATCTGTTCATCGGCAATGCTATAAACTATAGACTCCTCGCCAAGGAAAGGAAAAGAGAGAAAGCAAGGAAGAAGAAATCAGCCACCCATCCTTCCAGAGAATCGGAGGCTTTGAGCAGATCAAAACAGGATGATGTTTCTGTCAAAGTCTCAAATCCACACAATTCTCCCTCAGACAGAGAAAGAGAAAGCAATATTTAACATGAGTCTCATCTTCAATCAGTGTTTATCAATTTACTTATGAGTTTCTTTGTGTTTTTCAAAGTGTTGAAAAGAATTTTAGCTAAAAGAAAGGATCACAAACAGTAACGAAACTTGTATTTTCCTCAATGACACTCTGCAAATCAATATTTTGACATTTGTTTGGATAGGTAAATTTTGAGATCGTGAACACAGGAAATCCATGCAGTGGCTTATTTGCATACCTGACTTGGGGTGTTGTGATGAAAAAGAAGAATTTTTAAATCTTTCACTGACATTTACTTCTAGCTGTAGAATGAAATCTGCATCCCAGACCCCCCTGGCTTTCGTAAGCATATGTCAATTCCATAGAATGTCTCTCTTCAAAGTTCTTTCTTTTTTTTAATTTGATATTGTTATAAAATAAATTGAGGACAGCATTTCTCTTCACACACAAAGAATCACATATCCACACTAACACTGAGTATCTGGAGACCATGAAGAAATAAATGAATTTGAAAAAAAATATCATAGTCATTTTTAAGTAAAAGAAAACCTCCAGGGAGACAAGGGGAATGTGTTATATTTGTGTACAATTTTACAGTGTGGATTTAAAATAACAGTATATGGTGAAAAACACAGTGGTGTTAACCTGGAAAAGTAAGTGACAAGGACTACAAGAAAAAAATGTATGTAAAATAAGTTTGACTTGCAAAAATAGAGCCCATTTGCACCTTACTTCTGACCACTCATGCTGGGTTAATCTGCACACAGTTGCAATTATTGCCTGGTGCTAGAAAAAAGAACAATCCCCCTAGTAATTTCTAAAATTCTTACCTAATACATATATTTCATTCAAAATTTAATGACACTGAAAAACCAGTTGAATCCCCTTGATTTAAAAAGTATCTTGACCAGCCAGACATTGGTGGTATATGCCTTTAATCCCAGCACTCTGGAGGCAGAGGCAGGTGTATCTCTGTGAGTTCAAGACCAGCCTGGTCTACAAGAGCTAGTTCCAGGACAGCCTCCAAAGCTGTCTCTAAAAACCAAAAAAGAATAAAAAGGTATCTTATCTTATAATATACAACTTAATGAAGACATTTTTTTCTTTTTAAGACAAAGGCTCAATCCAGATTCAATGTTATGCTAAAATACCAAAGCCAAATATACTAGAATCCTAGTTGACACTTTCAAAGTAGACCAGATCCCCATTTTTTCCCCAACCAAAGTAGTGACACAAACTTAATCTTATGAACAAGTCATAGGAATAGAGTGGACAAGAGTAGCGGTAGTTACTGAGCCCACTAAAGTCTTCTAATTCTTTTCTAAAATAAGCAAAAGCAAAAAACAAACAAACGAAACAAACCCAAGCCTTGATTCAGTACCTGAAGATACCTCATAGTAGAACAGAGAGAGGGTGAGGAAACACTTGAAAATTCTACCCACTACTGATTTAGACTACCTGCTGCCTAAGATTAGGACGAGAAGATCGGGACATTTGGGGGGGGCACGTCTAAAAATACAAATTATGGGGACTTGTAGGTATATAATTTTTAACACAGTATTGACATGTCAAAGGATTGTTGCTCAGGTCAATTTATCATGTTCTCATTTTCTTAAAGTATCTGGATTCAGAATCATTCTTAAGACAATTTGACAAATCCACAACTTCATAATATATAAATAACTGAAATTAAATACCTGTATAGCTCTCATTTGATTTTATAATGAATAGAATGAACTTAGTAATTTATTAAGTGAAGCCACTCTGACAGTGTCCTCTTCTTTTTGTCTTATTTCTTAAGAGTCTACTTAGACATTGCACTTTTATGACACTAATATTAAAAGTTTGGTTCTGTCATAACATTAGCACACTGCTTCAAACATGTGGTTCATGGAATTTGGTTTTTCTTCATTTTACATTTGCTTTTTCAAATATGAAAATATTTCTAATTTTCAGTTATATAATTAAAACCAAAATGTGCCAATACCATAGGAAAATGAATCAGGACAATATGTGACAACATATGACTTACAGTGTCCACTTCTTTTTTTCTTTACAGTACGATGTCCTTTTCTTTAACTTGGCTCCTCCCAGTCTTGAATCAGCTTTCTAACATGATTATTCTTCTCATATTCACCTCTGTTTCCATAAGAAATCATTATAGTCAATCATAAACTTCCAAAAAGAATGTCTTGCACTCATTGAACTTATTATACATATCAGACAGCAGAAGGAGAGGAACAATGAGGCAGTGACTATGGGATTTGCAGTTAAATCTGTGTGCTCTGTCCACCTGCATGTGGAGATGCTGCAATTGGCCCCGTGCCTTCCTTTCTCCTTAGAAAGAAGTTTTGTTATGTTAATTGTTGATGAATCATATCAAAAGCAAATGGCATTTCCTTTGCTGTTTCTCTGTTGCCTTAATTCACTTCCCTTCTAATGGTTATTGCATTGACTTTTGAGGGGGTAGAAGGATTGCAAAGTACATGACTTGGCATATAGAGGCATGCCAGAAACATGTAAGTATGTATATCTACAACAGACATGTTCTAAATTAGGTCCTAACTCACTTGAATCAGAAAGAAAATCATAATAGAAATGAAACTACTTGTTTGCACCCATTGAAGTAACTTGGTGCTTTAATTAAATCTTTCAAAGACTATTGGCCTAAAGCTTTTGCTTTTATATAATCACATCAATAGAGGAGGAATGTAGATAGCACTCTTGTCTGCAACTTTAGGGCTGAATATGTTCCTGTCACAATGGAACAACAGATTTTAGATGTTCAAGATAAACCAAATCAATATTAAAATCTCTACTAACTCCTATTTATTATCACAAAAGTTATACAAAGGAACTAAATTACTCATAATTTCTGATCACTTGCTAGTTTACATATTTTACCTTTTGCTATTTAACCTTAACTATTTCTTCATTGTCCATAAAGATATAAATAAGTGTGGTCTTGTTCTTGCCTAGTCTTTTTTCTAGGTATTTTTGAAGAGGCAATGGGGTGGGTAGTTATATGTATCACACTGAAGACATGAAGCTTTCTCAGTATAAATTCACATGAATCATACATAGAGTTTCCCTTTTTGTTCTGTGTTCCAACCACCTTCACTTCATTGACCCCCACCATCCACCTGGACACTGGACAAAAAATAAAACAATTCGATTTGGAATGTTCATAAGTATTCTCTCAGAAAGTAATTGTCTCCTCAATTATTTCTAGCCCTACAACATGACAATCAAGAACATAGAAAAGTATAAGTAGAATTTTATATAGATGTTATAAATAGTTGAAATTACATTTTACCCAAAATTGCCTTATAAAGAAAAAAACTCAAATGTGGAGTATTTCCAACTTTTAATAGACTAATTAACCTAAACTTTTGGCAAAATTTAATGGGAGAATACAAAGTGGAAAAGGAGTTTAGAGAGCTGTAATATGCATTTTGCCTACATAATGCCTTTTACTATTAAAACCAAAGCCATACTTGGAGTCATTACTTTGATATAATAGCCTGATACACACACACATATGCACCTGTGCACACACACCTACACACCTTCAGGGAGGCTGTTCTTGCAAATCACAAATGAGTAAGACCCTCTGTATCACAGATGACATAAGAAAAACCACATTGAGATTGATCTCTTCAAAGAGGGATGCATAAGCTCTTCTGTCTACCATGAGAAGATGACAAAAGCAGTATTATTTCTGTTCTCTATGAGAAGTAGAAAAAGAGAATGTTCATAGAAGTTGAAAAGTAACTATTTAGGATATGTTTTTTCAAATAATGAAAATAATTATTGTACTAATGAACTGAATTACTTTAATCTCATTAAACTTGAATATTTCTTGGTTCCTGGGGAAATTCTATAAATGGGATAATCACTGAAATTCAAACTATCATGTTCTATAGTGATTTTTCCAGTTTATATCACAGGTAGGACCAAATATAGGAAAAGCTTATGTATAGTAACTTTCTTTTACTCCAACTTCAGGTAAACATATTACACACGAGTCATAATACATGCCATCATTTATATGAGAAAAGTCTTTATTAAAACACTTTCAGCTATTATATAATTATTTTGTTATCACAAATATGAAAACACTCCTCATCTCGGCTTAAGTGTTGAGATTAGAAAGGTGTTTGTGGTCTAGAAGACTTCTTTCAAATGTGGATTTTTCCATATGTAAGATAAATACAACAAATAAATGAATCTGGTTTGACAGAACCTAGCAAAACAAATCATTCTGTCCTTGGCATTTGCCTTCTGGAATTTTCCCAATATTTCTGAAAGTGCCTCAGGCCTTAAGAACTGGAATTAGCAGTGCTACACCACTGTTTTGTACAATGGTGCCATCAATGCAGATCCACAACAACTGTTTGTGATTCCAAACATCACCAGGATTTTTTTTTAAGTCTTGACATTTAATCCTACTGGTTTTTACAAATTTGACTTCTGTGTATCTATACAGCCCCACATGTTTGAGTGTACAGGTACAATCCAAGAGACACACATGTCAGAAACTCTCATGTGATAAAAACCCCAGCGGTCTTTGGCACCACACTTAAATGAACAATGTACTGCAGCCATAATTTTTACTCTTGAACATCTTCTTTGCTTCGAGTGTTCCTACTCAGGAGAATTTGCATCTTCATACAGTATTTTAAGGTGAGAAGATGTCTCTCTTTGCTTTCTTTCCTTTGACACCTTGATTGACAGAGCTTGAAAAACTTGTGGTAATGAGTATTATGAATGACGTTTTTACAGGTATCTCCACTGAGCAGAATTAATGTTGACATTGAACAAGATCACCCCTATTCTCATCCCAGGTGCTTTCCATGCCTTGCCACCCATCTCTCGGTCACTTTCTTTCTTACTCTTTAAATTAATTTCCCTTTTCCATAATGTTTGAATAAACATCTTTAAAATGTTTGTCCTCCCCTTCTGGAAATTTTCCACATAGAATATTTCCTCGACAGTGGTGATTTAATGACACTGGCATTGTTCTCACGGTCTTTTGTTTTCCAGTCTTCATATATAACCTGTAACATGGTAAACATGATTCAGCAGTAATAGAGAAGGCCAGTTTATCATGAATTCATTGACATCACAGTGACTAATTTTTCTTTACGTGATAAAACTGGCTTTTGTTTCATTTTTTAAAATTTGAATGGCAACATAACCTGTTGATGAAATAAGCTTTATTTGCAAAACAGGCACTGAATGAATGACTACGGGTGCAGTAAGGTAGACTGAATGACAACTGGGGTTTGGTAAGGTACACATCATTTTCCTCAGAAAGATATCTCACTAAATTCAGCATGAAATTCCAAAATGTTTGTCAAGGATGTTCATCTGGTAGTTTTGTTGGTCATGATTTCATTTTTACTTTTATATGCATATAATGCTTTTGGTAGACCCACTTTATGCACAGCATGTTCATTGAAAAAAGAAACTGCAGGTTCCTATGGGCTTTGCTTTCCTACCACCTGTCTTGTATTGACTGAAGCCAGAGAGATTCTGGACTTCATGAGGTAAGACCTGCCAATTGAAATGGCGGTTTTGGATTGCCAGGGTGTAATTATGTTTTGATTTGTAGCATATTTTCTCTCAACATAAACAAGTATCAAAAGTTATGTTTAATTAACTGATGACATTGTCTCGCCTCTCTAAGCTATTTCTTGCTAGTTGTCCACGTTTTGCAGTATTAGAATACAGATTAAAACTTCTGCTTAAGTGTATAGAAGTGATGAATAAGTACAAGATGGAGTGTAGTACCCATCTTTTGACTCCCAAATGTTTTTACTTCTATTCAATAGACAAGGTTTGCTGTCAACGATGATGACCTTATAGAGTGAATAAAATTTTTTCTAGAAGCACACTTAAATAATTCCTCATAATCATTATAAATATATTTCTTCAATCATACTTTACAAACTAAAGTCTGTAAACACAACTTAAAGAATATCTACTTGACACAGTAGAGAGTTCTGCATTTGCCACAGACAGTAACTAATAATGCTGCTGAATTTTGCACAATATATGTTGTTATGGTAATATCAAAGTCATTCTAGAGATACCAGTGTCAATTGAAGTTTATCAGTGTTCCTTTAATTGCCCTTTTTGCCTAGACCTTATTTTAAAGGGAAGATTCTATTGTTTCATAAATAATTGCCATCATTGAGAAGAAGGACATCACTCATACAATGTTCTGATAACATGAAGATGTGTTAATGGAAGTACTAAAGTGAATTTTATCAGGCAAAACCAGATACTTAACAGGTGGCTCCCAACAATGTAATTAAATCTTGAATGTCAGAGAATGCCCTTTACCTTTACCTGTATAGGTAGCATTTCTAGACTTTTCCTCTTTAACATACCCCTCCAGACATCAACAACAACACACCAAAAAAAATTCATAATTAGATAAATTTCAGGAAGAAGAATGGTGACAAAGTCATTTTGGTAAAGTACAAAAACAGTATTCTGCACTAGATACATGTTTGCTTCAGTGACTGGGGACATCTACCATAGGGTCCACTGTAGTGAAGATGATCATAAACTGACATGGCCCAGGAGAATCTCGTGCATATGAGAGATCTTCACACCTCCCCAGGCAGGTGTGTGCTGGTCTTACTCAGCCAAACTGATGCTATATAACGAACTGACATCATTGTGACAGGGACAGTCTCAGTGGCTGCAACATTACCTGTTCTGGTAATGATAAAATTGATATCATACTTCAGTCAGCAGTGTCATAATGTAATTTCTATGTTGGAGGAGAAATAGCAGGATCCTCCCAAATATTAAAATTGGAGCTTGATTTGAAGAGCTTTTGCATAAAGTGGAATGAATGAAGTATTTTCTAGGTGGGAAATTATCCATTTGTGAAGGAAATTTTGAAAAATTTGTTACAACTTCCTGCTTTCTATATTTTCTCATAATTTTAAATTGACAACTAAGATTGTTGAAGGAAAAGTTAGACATAATATCTTGTTATTAATAAGACACACATAAGATATACTTTACTATAACCATATCTATTTTTTGAAAAAATTCTTGAAGAGAATGGGCTTCAGAGTTAATCTGTAAAATATTTTCATTATAAATTATGCCTTAAACTCTACTTATAAGATTTCCAAGTACAACATAGCATTTTTTCTATGTATTGTGATGAGCACTAAGAAAACCACCACATTCACATAAATATGGGTATTCCCTACGATAGTAAAGATTAAGCTAGCCTTTGTTGATACCTAAGAGGATTCAGTTAGTTGCTTATACATGATCTAAGTCATGGCTATACCTGCCTCACCTTTTGAAAATAGAACATAAAATAAGCAGTATGAATGCCTGTCAAAGATTAGAAATATAAGATGATAAATTGCTCTTTCACCTTCCTGCAAGTGACTATACTTTGAGCTGATCTTCATGTATGTGTTGGAAAATTTTTGATTATGTAGCAATTCCTAATTTAGGAAATAAGAAATGTAGCCGAGCAGTAGCAGAACACACCTTTAATCCCAGCACTCTGGAGGCAGGTGGATCTCTAAATTCAAGGCCAGCCTGGTCTACAAGATCTAGTTCCAGGACAGCTAGGCCTTTTACACAGAGAAACCCTGTCTCAAAAAAACAAAACAAAGAAACATACAAAACTGCCCCCACAAAATAAAAGATAGCGGGTGTTTTATGCAAATGCATAATTTATTTTAGTTAAATGTCTATAGATTAAATCAAGAGTAAATTGTTTTGGCAGTAAGCTCATTTTAAAGAACAGTTCCATTACTATTGAAGCACTCAGTTCTTGTGCTTCTGTAGTGTCACATGGGCACAATGCCTCAGAAAAGGACGCACTAGAGTTGCTAAGTTTTGCTGCTTATCAGAACTGAAAGAAATGCCTAATTCCTCTCTAAGAACAGGGTTTGCCTGCTGATTCAAATATATCTCCTAAGTATTACTTTTTCTTTTAGACTGTAAACTCCTTGTGGACAAGGATGATTCTGGAATAACAACTTTTATGCCCAACATAGGGCCAGGTGTACAATAATTCCTCATGAAAATGAGGGAATGGAATGAATGGACTAGACTGTTGAGAATCCCAAAGTATTCTAAGATATGGTCTGGGCCATGATAGGGGGTTCTCTGACTAGTTTCAAATGGTAAGATGGGAAATGCTTTGGAATCTTCTGCCTGCTCAGAACTGATTGTCTTGTCTTGAAGGATTCATTTTAATTTTCTCAGTCAAAATCCTATGCAAGTGCTGAGACACGCAGCAGGTAAACTTTGTGGTACTTCTCAATTAGTTTTACTTTCTTTATCAAGTCATAAATGCTCTATTTAGGCTTCCTGGGAATATTGACAATCATTTTGATTACTAAAGGTGCTACTTATTTTCCTACATTGACTTTGATCATGAATGTTCCTGTAGGCTGATTTTATGTTTTCTTTTTTAGGGGTGGGGAGCGGTACAATAAATTAGATTATCTCTTTTCGTCTGAATTATGCAACTTGAGAAAATATGTATCTATTTTTACTCTATTTTAATTTTTACTGCTCATGGATTTAATCACAGGTCTGTGCTATTTATTAGAAAGTGTTATTTGTCTGAATTATGCAACTTGAGAAAATCTGTATCTATTTGTACTCTATTGTATTTTAATTTTTACTGCTCATGGAGTTTATCCCAGGTCCGTGCTATTTATTTGAAAGTACATGCATATATATTTATATGGCATGTAAGAAAAACTTGTGTGGCTTATTAAAGTTAAAAATTAATGTTAACGTTTAATTTTTGAAATGAAATCTGTAACTGCTTTTTCTCAAGAATCATTAAATGCTATGCTGTTCTACGCTGATCAAAACAGAGTGTCCGACTCCAACCTACATGTAAGGGCACTTTTTTCCTGGATGTATATAACTGATTATTGGCTATGGAAAGATTAATGTCAACGTGAAAAAATACAACCATCCCTAATGGCTGAAAAGACTATGTACAGTTTAGTTATTCATGGGACTTGTTTGAATGGATTCACAGGGACTGAACATAAATATTTTAAAAGTATATTATTTTCTGAGCCACAGAAGCACTTTCCCTTTGACTTGATTTTATAATGATCTTTATATTTTAAACACTTTTAGAATATTATCAAAGTTAAGAGGAAATGAATAAGATGTTTAATACACTACAAACCTATATACTTTCCAAGACCCCGTTAGTATCATCTCCCACCAGAATGGTACCTACGTTAGCAAACCTTCACTAATATTTTTACATAAAGTCCATGGTTTATGGGCAAGAGTTCATCCTCAGTGTTGAGCATTCTAGACTTTTGAACAAAACAGTTTTGATAACATTTGTGGGAGACATGAACAAGCATTTCTTTACCCCAGATAAGACAATACCACCAACCAAAGAGATCCTCTGCCCATATCTAGGTGGATGCACCAATGAATTGAACCTGGGTATTTGATGCAAGCCTTTGTGAAGGGTATCTTCCAGGTGTATGGATAGAGGCTTACCCATTCACTTATGTGTGACTTTATAACAATTGATGCAACTATTTCTCCTTTCCATTTTCATTTTTTTTGGTTCTTATAGATGGTAACATTAAATGGTCTTTCCTCTCGGGAAACACTCTTTTTATGTAGCTCACCTTCTTTTAAGCCTGGTTGCTTTTCTTAATGTGAAATCCATTCTCTTTGAGATTAAGCTGCTCCCTCTTTCATTTGATTAGCATTTACATAGTGTATCTTTCTTTGCTTTTTCATTTTTAACCTATATGAACTAGGATTTCTATAGACTACATGTATTTTGCTTTTTTTCTTTTAATGTCTTCTGGCAACTCTCACTTTATGCATTCTATAATTAATACTCAAAGTGGTTACAAATGTAGTTAAAATCCATCATGTTGGTTCCCATTTCCTATTTGTGACCTTTGATTTTTAGTTTGTTGGTACAGGGTTTCTCTGTGTAACAGCCCTAGCTATCTTGGAACTCACTCTGTAGACCAGGCTGGCCTCAAACTAATAGGTATTCCCATGCCTCTGCCTCCTGAACACAAGAATCAAAAGGTGTGCAGCACCACTGCCTAACTGATTTTTTGCTGTTGCTTTTAAATTCCACTCTTTCTTAGCTTTTATTTGGGTTTAAATTGAGTATTGTATAGGATTCCTCTGATTTTTCTTTTTTATATAATCAGATACACTGATGCTATTATTGTTTTCCACTGTTATGTTAGGTAGAATAAGAGTGGGATACATGTTTCCACTTGCATTAATTCATTCCCATTCTTCTCTTCCTGTAGATCAAAGCTTCCAACCCATGTCATTTATTTTCTACCTAAAGAACTTTTTCTCTAACATTTCTTTAAAATTGGACTTTTTTTTCTGGCAAGAAATTCTCTCAGATTGTTTGTGTTTACTTTGTTTTTTTCTTTTGAAGTTAATTTTGGGAATATAGAATTTTATTTTGATCTATTTTGGCCAATGGTGTTTTACTTATCAGCCAGTAAGATAAACACATACACAGAAGAATATTCCCCATCATCTATTTTTTGTCTAAATAAAAAGGGTTCTAACTTGAACATAGTAAAATTATACATAACAAAACACTATAATCACAATATTTAGTCCATTAACATTTAGTAGGATTTAAAGAAAATATTCCACTATACTGTCTTAGGAACTTATCTTTTATCATAAAGAAAACCATAACCATAATTATCTCTCTTCAACTCCACCAAAGACCACAGAAGGATAGTATGTAAACTCTAGAATTGACAGAGACATCTCCCTATCTGGACAGTACCTGAAATCCTTATTTAGTGTTGGGGCATCCATCTTTGCCCCATAGGTCATAATGTGTCTGGCAGACTTCTCAGTGAAGCAGAAAATTTTAAACTGGCCACCTACATTGACAGTTTGTCAGTCATACTTCTCTTTAATTTTAGCAATGTTGTTTAGCAGATAAAAGACACGTGACCAGAAAAAGGTAGAGATTTACAGTAAAGACAGATTCAGATGAAGCGAAACTTCTAGCAGGTTTACAATGTGTTTAAAAATGTAAGTAGACGGGATAGAAAAAGAAAAAAGAGTAGCTGGGTGTGATGGCATTCACCAATAATCCCAGCACTCAGGAGGCAGAGGCAAGCAGATCTCTCTGATTTCAAGGCCAGCCTGGTGTACAGCATGAGTTCAAGGGCAGCCATAGTTACACAGAGAAACCCTGTCTCAAAAACAGGAAAATATAAAATAAAAGAAATAGAGTAGCAAAAAAAGTGTAAAGATGAAAAATTCACAGGGAGTCTGGATACTGTATGCTATCGTGTTGTCTTTGAATTGTTTGACTGCTGAGGAAATAGCAACAACTACTAAAAGAAATGCTGCTGGATTACTCCAATCTATATATTTAAAAAATAACAACTTCAGCAGGCTCCCAAGTGCTGGGATTAAAGGTATGTGCCAGCACTTGGAAGACAGAGGTAAGCGGATCTCCGTGAGTTCGAGGTCAGCCTGGTCTACAGAGCGAGTTGCAGGATAGCCTCCAAAACAAGAGAAACACTGTCTTGAAAAACAAAAACAAAAACAAAAAGCAAAAATAAAAAAGAAATGCCTTGACTTCAAAATTTAAGTATAAGGACATGTTACTTTGGAAAACAGATTTTGTGTTTCCACAGAAAATGAAAAGCTTTAGATTCATTCCAGACTAATATGGTTTGTTGAAGCAAGACCCCTTGAAGCAGTAGCCCAGGTGACCCAACATTCAAAACAGTGGGACAAGGCAGCCTTGCAGACCACTACCACCAGGATTTCTGGGTTTTCTTAGGATCCCTAAGACAGCACCCATAACAGCAGGAAACAGTTTGGAGAGAATGATGCCCACATTCCCAAATATTGTTTGTAAATATTTGTTCTCATTTATATGGGGTTGGTTATAAATGGTAATGATCACACCCAATCTCTTTTTAGAGGAAAAAAATGGAAATATGATACAGAAATGAATACTTTGTATTGGTATGGATTTTGGTTTATTGACAAAAGTTTAAGGTGAATTTTGCGATATGTATACTTCTCCCTTGTTTAGGTATTGTGTTTATACAGGTCTTTTAAAATGTAATGCATAATTAAGTACAGATTCTATGTAGTCACCTATAATAGTTAAAACTAATAGTTAGATTAGTTAGGTTTTCTAGATATACGAGATATATTTGAGATGGAATTTCTTCAAACCTTTCAAAGACCTACAGAATATGGCATTTAAAATGGTTTAGAGTTTTTTCATGACAATGAGACACAACTGCTCCTGGCAACACCAATTACATAAGAAAGGTGATTGGCATCAAACTCAATATGGAGTTTGCCTTCAACATGGGAAGATTAGCCATTTGGGCAAGAAACTGCTCTTGTTTGGACTTTTTTACTGTTGCTGTATAAACTGGACATGCAGGACCCACAGGAAAGTGACTGCTGAACTTGCAAAATAAGACAGTCCTGAGGGGTTCCTGCTTCATGGAAGAGTCTGCCAGAAATTCTACAGGACAGAGGAAATGCAGAATTTTAAATTGGTGTTTTTTTTTAATACACTAAGTCCTTCCTCTTTATATTAATGGTTCAAAAGTTAGATGTAGTTCTTTTCCATGTTCCTCTATGGGTAAAATTCTTTACCCACTTAATCCCTAGCTTCTACCATCTTTTCTTTAATTTTCAGTAGTTGGAAAATTACATGCAAGATGTAGTTTTTCTGATGTATGTTATATATTCCTGTACTTCACAATTTGTCAATCTGTTGTTCAGTGTCTGATAAGTTGAACAACTGTATTTTTTTCTTAGAACTAATTCTTGTACTGGTACCTTCATTGTACATATACCATACCTCTGTAATTGTCACCCAGTTCTTAAATACTTGTTATGGCTTGTATCTCTTCAGTTATTATTTTTTCTCTCTCTTTTTTCAATATTTGAAGTTTCCATGATATCTTCAAGCCTAGCTTTTCTAGTATCTCAAGCAGTGATATCTATTAGACAAGAAGCCTGTCAAAGGAAGGCATTCTTCACCTCTGTCACAGAAGTTTTGATCTCTCACATTTCTTTTTTATTCATACAATTTCATCCCTCTGTTTACATTGCCCATCTGCTCACTTATCATGTTTATCAACTAAAGCTCTTGGCATATTAATCATAGTTGCTGACTTTTTTCAGTCTTGCTGGGATCAGCTGTTTCTCTGGGATTCACCAGCCCGGTCTTGACCCCTTTGCTCATCACTCCTCCCTCTCTGTCACTGGGTTCCAGAAGTTCAGTTCAATGTTTAGCTCTGGGTGTCTGCCTCTGCTTCCATCTATCCCTGGATGGTGGTTCTAGGATGGTATGTAAGATAGTCGCCAAAATCATTATTAAGGAGGGGCATTTAAAGTAGTCACTCCATTACTGCTTAGTTTGCCAGTTGGTGTTATTCTTGTATGTCTCTGGAGTTCTCATTAGTGCCAGATCTCCCCTTAAACCTAGAATGGCTCCCTCTATTACGTTATCTTTCATCCTGCTCTCCTCTATGCTTCCCCCAACTCAACCTTCCTGCTCCCCCATGTCCTCCTCTCCCTTCCTCTTGTCTCCCTCTCTTTTTCCTGGCTCCCTTTCCCCTCCCCTCCCAGAACCTCCCCTCCCAGTTCCCAATCTGCTCAGGAGATCTTGCCTCATTTCCACCTTCTCTGGGATACCATGTATATATCTCTCTTAGGGTCCTTCCTGTTTCCCTGACTCTCTGGCAGTGGGATTATAGACAGGCACTCCCATGATTCATGTCTAAAATCTACTTATGAGTGAATACATACCATGTTTGTCTTTTTGTAGCTGGGTTACCTAACTCAAGATGGTTTCTTCTAGTGCCATCCATTTGCCTACAAATTTCAGGATTCCATTGTTTTTTTTCTGCCGAATAGTACTCCACTGTGTAATGTACCACATATTCTCTATCCACTCTTCAGTTCAGGG